ACCGTGTGCAACATGCTAATAAGGAGAGATTTTGCATGCGAGGACGAGAATTCCAGAGAACCTGGAGGATCTGTAGGATCCTTGAGGACCGATCGCTCGCACGCTACGCATGATATCTTTCCGAAAGCGATTACCCTCATCATCTTCCCGTAGGCACGCTTGCGTGGGAGGTAATCTGCTCGCTCTCGCGAAAGCATCTTCGTTAATTTCAAGCGCCAAATTGGTTGAGGAAACTACTCGATGACGGCCCAGCTGGACTCGCGCTGGAAAGCCCCGGCCTGCAGCTGACCCCATTGATCCCGTAGTTCCCCCTCCGGAGCCACTCGAAGAGAGAGGGGGGGCGTACTGATCGTATACGATGTTTCAGGGAAATTCTTCCGTCCGATCACCGTTCAGGTGGAATGCTGTCGATGCCATACTTATGGATGCTTCATCGCGTTCATATTGCTATGCTGCAACGACCTGTGGAACATATAAACTCCGCAGGACGGAAATAATTTTTTCATTCGAGTGAGATCGCCAGATGTCGATGCCGGAACATTCTCTTAGATCGGAGATGATTGTTGAGCTCGCGCCGATGGAGCTATATTCTGTATGTTGTAAACACGCGATTGGCTACCTTACAGCGTCTTCATTCTGGGTACGAATTATTCTTCTTGAATAAGTCGTCCCCATTCGATGGACGGAACCTCCATGAAGGTTATCATAATCACTAAGACTATACCAACATCGGAATGAGGGGAACATCGATAATAATATATCTGGCAGCGTCTAACGTCATATCAAGGTCTGGCGTATGTAAGACGCGTCGGATATGACTCCTTCATAAAAGGCTAGTCGCGGATCCCCCCCTTGGGATTTTGTTTTGGAACATTCGCTCATGAGAGACTCAATAGGCGCTACGTTCATGCGCGTTGGCTCTAACCCCAACGATTGCCGTCGGACGACGGCGACGCACGTCGGTCCGGGGACGTGCGCTCCCGGCTAGCTGTAATCGAGAGGATTCAATGGATTTGAGGTCGAACTTCGGGAAATGTTCGATTTCCGATGATCCGGCACGTATCTCTCCGATCTCCCTCTTTTTTTTCGGGGATCAGGAGGGATCGAAAGAACTCCGAACTGTCCGCTTCGCCGAAGTCGCGGAGCCGGTTCCCCATGGACGGAAAGTCGGCGTGGGTGATCGGCAGGGGCTCACGCAGGGGGGGGCTAAAGGGGCTATAGACCCCTCCCAGATGGTTTCTTCGTAACACTGTAGTATAGGAGCGAATGGCCATATTGGATTTCAGCCCCACGCGGAGACCCGATCCACGCCCCCCCCCCCCAAGAAAAATCCTGGGTACGCCACTCGTGATCGGCATTTTGTGTGTCACCCGTCTGACCCCGCGACGATCTAAGGAATTTGCGGGAAGTTTCCGAGAAGTGCCGTCGAAAACTTAAGTCGGCTCTGATGGGACGCTCTTCGAGGGTGCCAATTAGCGCCGAGCGGTGGAATGTTTCTTTTTTCGGTGAGGGTGAGGATGTTCAGCTCTACCACTTTGATCTCTCCATCTCTCTCCTCTCTCGATCCCTAACCGAAGCAGATTCATTGATGGAAACATCGGGAGCCCGATCAGTGCCTTTCAACTCGAAGGCAGTCGCAGAGGGAGCTAGGGGCACTTGACTCGCCAAAAGGAGGCGGCGGGTTAAGCTCTCGGAAAGAGCTCTCGCGACGAGCAGCGATTCTGAATTCTCGAATTTTTTGGTCCGTGCTCCGATATGATCGAGCAAGGCGTGTTCCATCGCAACACCGTCAGAACTTTATCCCGAGGAGCTCTATCGGATTGAGAGATGCAACGTTGGTACCAGAAAATGAGGCATGGATTTTTTCCTCAGAATCATCGATGGATTATCCGCTGAAATAGAGAGCCCTCTTGTGGAAACTTCTCGGACGAGAACACATTGGAGCAGTTCTGCCGCAAATCCACTGACTAATTTATTAACATCGATTTCCACACCGTTGAGGATGAAATCGTCGGACAGCTAGAGATTCCGAGAGTCTCATGGACGAACGGAAGCTTAGATCGTCCCTGGAACGCCTGGAGATTTTGCTCTCACTGAATGCCGGCTTCCAGGAGCTCGTCAAATATCTTAGAATGGCCCTTTCTTTCCCGTAAGAAGAGCGTCCTGTGAGAGGAGCTCCAGTGCTCCACGGAGGATCAAATCATACTCGCGTGCTTCGATGGCCGATCCGAGGCTCTCTGGCCTCGCTTTCTTGTCGTCAGAGAGACACCTGATCGACACCCTCATCGGAAATCCAAAACGAGTCGTAGACGAATTCGCCGAGAACAAAAATCGTGGGTTGTGCCCGGTAGAATGACTGCGGCGATCGTACGCCGTCGCTCACGGCGCGGCGCCTCTAAGACGCATCGAGCTCTGTGTACCCCTTGCGCTAGATCATAACACGGGAAGTCTCTGCTATTTCACTATATTCAAATGTGTGTACATGAATGTATATAGTACATGCATCTCTGCATAAACATTTCTCTAAGCATTTATAACTCTATCTCATAAAAAACTCTTTGTGGCTCCAAGTATTTCGACGGTGACTGACTCAGGGCGGGGGAGGTCAAAAAAGACGATTGCCCACAGCAACCTTTTTCTACCACAAGCAATGTCCATGCAGTTTCTAAAATCACAATAAAGGAAACATCCTCATCTACCTAAACAGCGAAATCTTGAGAAACAAAAGATCCTCTCCAAGAGTTCCGTTC